CCTACTGCCAACAGTCATAAAGTCACCTGAGAAAAGGTACCTACAGGATAACCTGAGCTCTAAGCTTCATGATGACTTACATTCTACTTTTTTGCTATCCTGACCCTATACTTGACATAGGTACTCTGCTTCTGCTTGGAAGATTAGTAGGTGTTTCTCCAGGGTCTGAGACCACACAAGCAACACATCTTGTACTTTAGCAGGACAGGCCATAGAAGTGAAGAGGCAATGGATGGGAGTCTGACATCCCCCTCACCTGCCTGCTGCCCATCTCTCTCCTCCTTGGAGGAGAAATATGCAATTGCCTGGTGTATCAGAGACTGCAGAAAAGCACCGTCACAAGAAAAACACCAACTATTTATTTTCTCCTATTTTAATAAGGAGATGGCTTCATCTCTCCATGTGCCTGAAAGCAACTTCCTAGAAGGGTGTTTAACAGCTCCCAACAGCCAGTTCAAACTCAAGTCTTCAGCAAGTACATTTCTTCAGGATTAGAGGTATGCAGAACTGCTGACAGGTCAGCTGTGTTAAGCCGTGAAACATGCTTGCAAGTGGACAAAAATGGGTGCCATATACATGATTTTAAGGATTTAGTAAAGTGAAATTGGCTTGCTAGAAACCTTCACATCCCTATACTTCCTGAGGACTCTACCACTCTACCTCTGACCCTGCACAAAGGCCCAAGATCAAAAGGGAGACCAGTGTCCCATTCTTCATAGCTGGGCAGAGGATAGGATGGCTGAGGATTCTGGCTGGCACAGGTAGAGCCAAACTCTTTAATGTATCTCATTACTCCCACCATCAACATTGTAACTTCAACACAGCTACCCGCTGCATTACTTTGTCAACTGGATAATATAATCCCACAATTTATTGAATTGCATTTGTTCCATTTTACAAAGATATCGGAATAAATGAGTTCAGGAATATCCTTGCTTTTATATCTCAGTAAAATCTAGAGAATTAAATAGGACTGGGTTATTTCATTTGACTGCAATGGGCATCCAAGGCTCCAGGGCCATCTGTCAGCTCTGGTAAGAAGTCTCCAAATTACTTGGTTTTGCTTCCAAATTAATACCTAGTTTCCAAACCTGCTATTCATGAACTGCACTTTCAACCCCATCCTGTCTTGGGGATGCGTACTTGGGGGGCCCTTTTACAATACATCAGGCCTGAAGCTAAGAGGCAGTATACAGTCCTCAGTGTTTGTCCCCATTCTTCCCGTATCTGTCCCTCTTCCAGCTTCAAACTTACATACAGTTCACGAACAGCTTTCTGCAGGTGAGCTCAAGCTTTGGCCAAAACGGAAGGGTGGAAATTTCCAAGGGTCAGTCTCTCCATTGTTTGTAATTCCTCTCTTCTCCGATGCCAGCCAACAATAAAGTGTGCCCCTTCTGTCTGAACTGACCTAACAATCTTTTCCCACTTGCTTTTCATAGAAGACTTTGTGATCACAAGATTTGGGCAAACACAACAAATACTCCATCATGCTTAACACAGGTACTGTGCTTTCAGCCAAGGGCACAGTAAACTGGAGGAACAGATTCTTCCTTCAGCTGAGCAAGCAAGCAATAGGAAAGAGTAAGCAGTGCCTTTGCTGCAAGTGGCTCTGCAGGTACTCCCCTGACACCATGTGAAAATTATTTCAAGGACTTAAGTACAAGCCTGAGAAACTTTTAAGTCTCTCTGGAGATCTAGTGTGCAGCTGATCTAAGGATATCAAGTCAAATCCTAAATATATCTTTTAAGACTTAGGTAAACAGAGAAGTAACCCAAAATGGCTGAAAATCCAACTCCTGCTTTGGCAACTCAGTTCAGGGTCATCTTAAACTGATGCAAACTAGTAAGCATCAGCCCCAGAACTTACAAAATCCTTTTCAGAGAGAACAATGACAACCCTCTTCAAAAAGCAAGCTGCTTCTCTAAGGAAATAGCCCCTATTTTGACATCAGCATAAGCAGTACAAGGTAAGAATATTGCAGGCGGCCTCTGAATAAAGTAACACTCCTGAACTACTAGAATACAGCAATTTGTCATGGTAAAAAGAGCTGAATTCAAGATATGACAAAACACTACAAGTACTGGCATGAGGCAGTAACAGGCATTGTAAAAAGTCTGCTGTGACTAAAATTCAGTTACTAGCTCACAGAAGAAATACGGCCTTGTTCCTGCTTTACTTCAATTAGGACCTCCTGGATCTTGAATTTACATGAAGGAGAAACTGGCACAGGCCTGCTGGATAAAGCTGAGCCACCCTTCCCCCTTTTATTTCTCTGAGTCTTGACTACACGTTCATGTTTCACAGCCGAGTTGCTACACATTTAGCAACCTGAAAAACACATCATTGCCTTTTCTTTTTCACTCCCCTTTGCTTTTCCTCAATACAAGTTGATTTTAAAGGTGGGAGAGAGAGAGAGCTTAAAACAAGAGCCAGGGAAATAATACCAGGTGACCTCTAGTTTAAGTGATGATTATTAAAAGTAAATCACTATCAGAGTTAAATGATACAACTGCTCTTCCATTTATTTCAAATCAAACTGCTTGTGAACTGGATTCATTCAAGACTCATTTCATTTTTCATACAGACAGGTCCAGTAAGATTGATAGCCATAGCATGTGGCAGTTTAGAGGTAGCTGCATAACAAAGCAACTTGTTAGCGCTTAACACTTCATACAAAATGGATGGACTTTCTTTTAAACAGTACAAGAAATGTTCCATCACAAGTCATTGCATGATGATACGAGGGAGTATTCTCAGTATTCTGTGACCAGAATTCACCTGCAGGGACAACAGGTATCTTCCCCATACTCCCAACTAGGCTATCATTCACAGGTCAGATATACTTAAGTGAAACATTTTAGAACCATTTAGTATAGGATGTCTGCCTCTGGCACAATGTTTAATTAACAAACAGGGGAAAGCAGCTACAGTCCATTTTATGTTTTCATATACTGAGTCTTCTTATGTGTTCATATACTGTCCAGCTTCTTCAGGATGAAAGGAGCTGAAAAGAGAAAATAAAGCAGCATGAACTTAACTCAGCTGAAGATAACAAGAAGCGTGCAGTGAGTCTGTGATGAAACTGCAGCACATTTATGTGGCATCTAAAATATTCAGACTCTGGTGAGATACCACCCTCTGCCTCTCACATAGTCCTTTCTCTCCCTGCATAATTGCTTTAACAGGTGAGGCAGCATGATTCCAGGGGGCAATCGGGTATGCCTGCTTGTGCTGCAGGTCAGAGCCTGGGGCCTGTTGTCGACACCACCAGGCGGGGGCGGAGAGAACCATCCAAACGTGACTTTTTATTTGCTAAACAGAAGGGCATCCTGAAAGGAAAGTTGCAAGCCTCTGATGCAACACACTAAACCACCGCCTACAAGACAGACAGCATGGCCCTGTTCTCTCACGCTCTAGAAAAGTACAGAAGCACTGTTGTTCGCCCAAGCCCAGCACTTCAGGCATCTCAGGCTCCCGCAGGCGCTCTGGAAACGCTGCTGAGATGCCGAGCCTCTCCCATTCACCTGGAGACGCGCGCAGTCACCGGGACACGAAGCCCCGCGCCGAGCAGCGGAGGCTCTCCCCTACAGCCTCCGCGGGCACAGAGGCGGTCATGAGGCTGCCAGAAGCAAAGATGTCCCTGCGGGACGCGAAC